CAGTACAACACGCAATGCGGGGGTGTATAGATTAACGAGATTTCACCAACCTTGAATTGTATGCAATGTTTCGCCAACTCCATTGGGTTGAGCCAGACTGCTCGGCGTACGTCACGCTGCATACGCCGGGACGCTGCACAATCTGGCCTACCCATAGCTGGAAGAGGCTGGTAGTTACAGGGGCTTTCAATCTAACAAAAAATGCATGTTTATTCGAAGTGGCCTTTTCGGATGGATGTATACCATATTGAAGGACACATAATGCTGATTCCAAATCTGCCTTCCTTATCTGCAGAACGTTTACGGGCGAGGGTTATGAGCGCTCAATGGAGCAAAGAATTGAATGTGCAAGGAGGACAAAAATAGTCGCAGTAATTTTTCTAGCTCTTCAATGGTGCAGTGGTAATCATCAGAGCACTTTATTTGCAAACACTGTAAAGTAAAAAATATTTCACACTTGGTTGCATTATTTGAGAGTTGGTAGGGCCCTGACATTTTATTCAAAATGCACATTCAATTTTTGGCTTCAAAAAACGCTCATAACTCCTCTTATTTGAACGTTCTGCAGATAAGGAAGGCAGATTTGGAATCAGCGTCTTCTGCCTTTTAGTATGGTCTACATCTCATTTAGAAATGCCACTTCGACCTAACAAGCTTCCCTTGTAAGAGTCACGGTCGGCTCGGCTCGACTTATCGCGAGCGTCTCGCATGGGCCACTCGACGGGTTCGAGAACGTGTCTCGTGGCATTCTCAAGATCGTCAGCCATTAATGCCTAGATATACGGTATTTCCCACACCTCAAGCATGAGAAAATAGCATATACGCTGAGGCGAACGCGGAGAGAGACCTAAGCGAGTTGGCTAGGAAGAACCCGAGCCGAGCCGTGACATTTGAATTGAAAGTCTCTGTATTCCAAAAAGCAGAATTTCGACAAGACAAGTTTATCGTTTCGAGCACTTAGGTCTATTCAAATAACGGCGCTTACTCTATTACCGCCTTTTCGAATCAAATTTTTTTTGGTTAATCTCCCGGCGAATTTGATGCACAAGATCGCGTACCAATTTCAATCGCGATCTTTCCAGTTTCTTTCTAATCCTCATTGCACATTTTCCTCATCTTCCCGAACAACATTATAGGCTGAAAAATTTCCCGAAGTTGAAGGATAATTTAGATCACACCACTGCTTTATTACTATTAACAAGCTGCTACTTCAAATACATGTCTTTAGGAGGTGGATGCAAGAAAAGCGGTTTTTTCCATATTTCTCCTATTTTGGCTACATGCTCCATACTTCCTGATGTTCCGCTTTATTACTTCACTCTAAAAGCTTTGTGAATGTTCCGTATTATGCGAACGTCTTACAGAAATAGTTTTGTGATTTTCATGGCTTGAGTGACTACTGATGGCCGACTATGCTTCAGAGATGCAAGGACCAGTGAACATGTCCAAGCATCGGATTGGCGATGATCCTAACTCGCATTTGATTTCTAGCGGTATCATGTTCTTTTGCTGTAATTTGCTGGTTGTTCTCAAAACCCACAATTATCGGCAACCCCTGCCTCTTTCTATTGACGGCAGCATTCCATCTTCCATCTCTAACGTAAGTTGAAATGCTAATTCTTTTCTTTGAACGGGTTTCAAATTCCCTTTTACCTGGGTCAAGAGGTAGGTCTCGTAACATCAGTTTTAGACGCTGTATCAAGGCGCCGCTTTATCTTCTCGAGGCTACGTCCGAATATGAAGAACTGATAAGTTCAAGAGGAATGCCTGATCTGATCCTGCTAAAATTTTTATATCGTTCTCAGTAGTTATATCTGCCCATTTTGCATATTCTCTCGTTCTCCCCGGCTTGGTAAATAATTCGTAACAACTTCCTAAAGGCCACTAATCTATCATTTCGAGGAGGGCATTGGAAAACCTAAGAGTCTCCAATGCGGTAATGTTTTGTAACTCTAAGGTTGTACTTCCTACGCGTGCCATCCTGAAACATTGTGCTTGCGAGTTTTCAGCTGATCTTACTAGCTGATTGCAACTGAAAATTCATGAGGCGCTTGCGTCGAAATGCATAAATATCACGATAACATCTCGGATCTGGGGTGCACATGATGTATCACACAAACTGAAACATTTTTTCAGTTTCGAGGTTGAGTTTTTTCACATCAACAATTTGTTGCTGAAAGCCGTCTACCAAAAGCAAGATGCATGAATTAATATAAGCAAATTTGCACAATTTTGCAACATAATATAGCTGTGCGTACAAATACTCAGATGAAACGATTATAGCGAAAAGAGTACTAGAAGTATAGCTTCCCTAAGAATAGGAGAGCAGAACAGAATTTGAAAATGGGAGAATACAGTTGAGAGTAAAAAAAGCGATCGGCTAGCTAGTGAGTTCCACCGGTCTTGGGGGACTTAGCTTACGTGGATGGTCGCCTTCGCCAAGGATTAGATATCAGACATCTGCGTTACAAATCCGTAGACAATTTTTTCGAACTTTCTTTCCTCCTAAATGACCATGTCGTTTTCTGCGTCCATGTCGTCAGGGTACTCGTGGATGTGAGTTCAGCACCGGTAAGCCTCGGCCATTATTATGGTCTTATGACGTCGATGAAAATACGTAACGGAATGGAAATGTGCTGAACGCAGAATCCAGTCATTTGACATTCTTCATGGTTGCTTCTTTATCTGGTCCTCCTCAATCTCTATGCAAAACGATTTGCGAACGAATTTTGGACTACAGACAACAAGCGGTTGGAGAGCACTGCTCAGCACGAGGTGGCTCCATCGCCTATTTGGAAACGAAACACCCGTTGATTTTACAACGTACGTCACCGTTACAAAGTGCCAATGGAATAAAACGTGAATTGCAAAGAAGAACACAACAAATTATAAAGCGACTTTGAACAAACGGCACACAAAACCGATAATTCGTGTTCTCTGGAGTGGCATCATGCGTGTACGACGCGCAAGATCGCACGCTTGGAGCTTTGCCGGCATTCCAAATTCTTAGAGGTGTAACCAAATGGGAAAAGGGGTTTACGTCGATTCAAAAACTGGTCTGTAACTTAGGACTGACAAAGAAATTAGGTGATTGAAGCAAAATTTAATTTTACCCTAAAACATCTCAGATGGCTCGACACGTGGCTCGAGGCCACCAAACTACGGAACAAGTTTGCTACGTCTTTAATTCGCATGACCTCCCATAATTTCTTGTACACTGTTCCGTCTTCCAATTGCTCAACACCAGGTTTGTTGCCATATCGTTGGCTGCTCATTACAAACAGGCCTTTTCTTGACTTCGAGGCATAAGTGACAATGGCAGTCGGCAATATTTTGTCCGGGAGGGGGGCAGGAATGAGCGGCAGAATTTTGTTCTATTGGTTAGAGCAGGGAGCTGACCAGCCTTTTGAAGGAATTATACTACGCGGCCTAGACAAATCGCGGAAATTTATTTTTTCACTAGATCAGTGGTCGTGCAGACCAACATCCACTTTGCTTTTTAGCCAAAAACAACATCCATTCCCACCTGTGAACTATAGTTGAAACGACCGAAAAATTTCGTGGAATGAACGAATATCGAATAATTGGCTTTTGAGAAATATTAGAACGAGTGATATTATTCGATCTCTGATTTGTAGATCATTCGAATCCGAGTATTTCAATTATGCTACACTTTAGAATTCGAATGAACGAATATTTGAATAAATGGGTTTGATCGAATGTTCAACTAGTCAAATAACCCAGTAATTACAATTGGTCGAATTTTCGAACATTGGAATATCGAATAATCGTACCTGTCCGAATATTCGATTCGAATAATTCGAGTAATTTAGTGGCTCAATCATTGCTGGTTTTTTCTTTGCTGCAGTTTTCTGCAAAATGTCAGTCGCTATATTTGACCTGATTTGTAGCTGATAATTATATGCGTAGTAAGTGGTAAGGATGACTGGGTTAATATCGCTTGGTCAGGATTCTACAGTCTGCTCCAACTCGGATCAGGCCAAACCGTTGGCGTAAATTTACGCGCTCGCAGCGCTAAGCGTTTGCACTGTATATGCGCGCTGTCGGAGAGAGCCAAAGGATTGGAGAGAGAGCAGAGAAGCAGGCCGTGGGCGTGACCGCGAAACCCCAGCGACGCGGACTAAGGGCCGCATGCACTAACATTTCAGCTGGGGAGGGGATCGCAGCTTCAGAAGAAAGCTTCATATCCTGAAGCTCCGGATATCTGGATTTCACGCTGTCTACCTGTCCGTAAGTACTCCCACCATCCTTCACTATGAACATATTGAGCAGAAGCGAGAAGCTGTACAAGCCGCATTTCCCAGCTTTTTGTAGGATCCCCTGATGATCCCTGGGGGACGAACATCTATTCTTCAGAGTCATTTTTCTTTCTCCGAAGTTAACGAAAACCTTCCAAAGTTATACTGGACATCTAACACAACAGTGCTAAGCATGTTGCTGATGAGAACAAATGAATTTTTGAAAAATCGAATTTTTCGGTATACCCCAAATTTTGACCTGTATGTAGATCATCGAAAATTTCATGACTTCAAAACATTATTTGTTCTTATCAGCAACATGCTTAGCACTGTTGGGTTAGTTAATATGCACAACTTTGGTTTCGTTGACTTCGGAGAAAGAAAAACGACTTTAAAGAAAAGCGTCGGGGATCATTGGGGATCATACAAAAGCTGGAAAATGCGATTTGTACAGGTTCTCGCTCCTGTTCAACATGTTCATAGTGAAGGATAGTAGGAATACTTACGAGCTGCGATCCCCTCCCCGCGGCTATGTTAGTGCATGCGGCCCTAAATCTACTGGCGAATCCCTCCCTTCCCTCCCGCCGTCTCCCTTCCTATTTGCTGCCCGCCCACCATCCCGCCATGCCCTGGAGCTTTCGCATGATTCGTCGCTCTCCACCACCCTTTTTCTCTGCAACACTGAAGTGAAAAAAGAACTGAGGATTACAAGTCCTACCTTATGAGCACAAGGCTTCTCAACTAAGTCCACTGGCGAATCCCTCCCACCACGCCCTTCATCCGCCTTCCCACCCGCTCATCAGGTTTTCGCACCCGCTCATCATCTCCCTGCTATGGACGGATCATAGGTAACACTTGTGGTTAAGTAATGTCTTACCTTGTCTACGTAGGTCTCCATGCGACCTATGCCGCACGTAATTGCCTCTCGCCCGAGGCAATTAGCTAATTGAAGTTCGGCTTCTGTTAAACTCTCAGAAGCTTTCATAATTGTCCTCTCTAAATCAACATCGACTCCTCCACCCGTTGCTTGGCGATATCTATAAAAAGTAGATAAGGAACTATTCTGTTGAAAAGTTCCTCTCCATTACCTTCGTTCTTTCAAAAGTAGATCACGGACATGTGCTTTCTTACTCCTCCACACTCGTTTGATCTGCAGGATGGTCATCAGCTTCCTACATTTTACCAAAACCACATCCCTTATTTCTGTCCAAGCGCGCAATTTACGTCGATTTGAGTCCGGAGTCCTTGACTCGTTCAATTCCAACAGTATTTCTTTTCTTTTTAATGCCACGACGATGGCATCAGTATAAGATATGCAAACTGGGTCCATACTAAAAAACTAAGTTATTAGTTCATTAAAATTAGTTGTAGCCGCGATTACTTAGCTGTTGTAGCGCACGTCGGAGTTGAAGCCAGACGAACCTGGAGTGATGTTCTTATAATTTCAGTGACGTCTTCAACAATCTCTATTGTCTCAGCTATTATTCCTTTATTTCTACAATACGTCGTTCACGGAGCCAATCGTCGTATTCACGTCGTTTCATTGAGTCCTGATAGAAACCTCTTGAAATTTGATTTCCAAAGTGATTTACCTACTTCACCTAGTATGCAGTAAATCGTCCAAGCTTGAAAACAATTATGAAGTAGAGATAGGCCTCCTATTAATGCTTTGATAAGTTTTGATCACTACAACGAAGAGCCAAAGCAAAATCCAGCAAACCACGCACGTGATGCTGGCACAACTCTAGATATGCAACGCGTGCGTCCGCAATTGCACAATGTGCTACCTTTCTGAAGGCATGCTCTCCGAACTACGTATAGAATGAGGGAAAACAGGGCTTACTCTATTAGTTTAAATGCAAGTACGTTGATATCACGGTAAAAGACAATTCGATGATTCTTTCCGTGAGGTGAAGTGACGTCTGCTAGTAGCGTTCCTTCGACTCCCTCAGTCTGACTGCGTGAAGACACCGGTATATCACACATGTCACTGTTTCCTGGAATACGTTGAACTACAGCATTTTGCATTTGAAACAGAGAGAGAACATAAAAGTAGTCTTTAAAGACACTAGGACGTTTTTTGGATGGCCAAAATGGAGCTTTGTTGCACAGCAATTCAATCTCAGATTGATAAGAGACTGTGGTTCGAATGCAAATGAAAATGTGGCAAAACGATGGAAACATGAAGGCCACATCACGCAAAGTGATTGTGAGCAAAACATGCTCAATACTCAACCATTTATAAACAACAAAAAACAAACAACAAGTTTACCTTGTTAACGCTGGGCAACAATAATGCTCTGGAGATCCTCACCCTTCTTCTTGGCACGGAGGTGGGTTCCCACTCGCTTCTCGAGGAATTTCAGGGCTCGGTTATCCTTGGAAATACACAGCAGCTCGAGTACACGCCTTTTATAGGGAGCAAATCCAGTGATTTCACAGACAAGCTCACGCACACCTAAAAACATTTATGTTTTCATTCAAGAGATCAACTTGTGTTGCAAGATGCAACGAAAGAGATCGAAAAAAAGCTGATATGAAGGAAGCTCAACGCAAAAACAAATTACCTTTGCCTTCTTGCTGCACGCGCCGATGTGTCGATTCTGACGTGGTTTACGGTGGATCTTCGTTAACCTTGTGCCCTTTGTTAAGGCCAACCGCAAGCCCTTTGAAAGCGGGTTGCGATAACCTCAAAGGCAAAGATGTTGAAATGAAACAAGTAAAGAGCAAATCTGCCGCAGAACAATCAAAAATAGTCTTTGATCGCAACAGTTGAACACAATATATTTGAAAGAGGAACTTTATACATAAGTTCTTGAGTAAATGTGATACCACGCTTTACAGATGCCACTACTCATATGAAAAGGAAATGCGCTGAGACTACTATTCCTGAGAAAAAGCTGATAAAACTGTCTGTGACTAAACGAGATGGTGTGTAAATCTTCAGCACCATAGTTGATCATCGGAGTTCTTTAGGTTTCTCCCATGAAGCCTGCAAGAACGTTGAGCAAAGCATTCACAAAAGGCACACTACCCGTATTAATCATGAAAAATTACCAAAACACTTATTCTGTAGGAGCTGATGATAAATGACGGGAAGAAAGTCCCGAACACACTTCCGTTAGGCAGAAGAGTGTTACTATATTGAAACAGATGTAATCCAAATACAATTGCCAGTAAAATATGGCAAATATGCTTCAAGCCGTTTAATGCGATGGTGAAGCAAAACACTTCTACATGACCAGAAATATTCAAGACTGAAAATAAAGGTAAGACATCGAATTGTGGAGTGACAATATGATAGAGCATATGAAACCTGGAAGCGGAAGATATGACACAAGTATAGCTTGGACAAGAAACACACATCCCAAGAGAGAATAATAAATCCGATGTAGCTGTGCTAAATCAGCAAAATCAGCAGTTCCAAAAAACTCAACAGAATAAAATGAAAAAACAACAGTGTAGCAGAGACAAAGACCTGAGACATTGATCGGAAACGTCTCGCAGAATCGCTTTCCTCCCCAAACTGTGCCATAGCAGCTTCACTTTCGGATGCAGTGCTGCGGCGCTGTAAGTGCGCAGATTACATTAGTTGATACAGACTCGAACTGTCTTGATGTCAGCCCCACATGGCTAGACTTCTCTATCTATCTATCTTCTGTGGATAAATTTTTGCACAATAATGGCGTAATTAGCCGCATCTTCACACATGTGGCTGGTCGCCACGTGAGTGAAGAACAACTGCAGAAGAAGCAGAAACCCTTGGAGCAAAAAGATAGAAACTTTCCGAATCTCTCGTTAGATTATCACTAAAAATCTCATGAACATGCTAAGTACTTACCATGCTTACATGAGTGTTCGCTCGATGTGAAGTCAAAGTCTGCCCTAGTTTGCCGTCTCTAATAACACTCGAGCGATATCTTTGAGAAAACTTGGGAATATCCGTGTTGTCCTGGGACAATTACATCATATAGAAATTGTAAGCAAAAACTGAGTTTTGAGAAAGATAAAGAGCGGTACACTGCATGGTACAACATCAAACGAATGCGATGACCGAGCACGAGACCATGTTCAATTAAGACGCCACCAGTTCTTTTCTCTGCGGACAAGCTTTGTCCTTCCTGAACTTGAAAATCAGTTCAAGGAAATCCCATCTTTACGGTATTCAGCCTACACTTTAAACAGCCTCCATCCGTCTGCCCATCGAACGCATTTCTTCGCCGTATGAATATCGTTCGTGTTTCCAATGCCACTATCGGAAACAGTCTACAAGAGAGCTTGATAACGGGTTTGAAAGAAAACACAACGAAAGTGAGGTTATACCGTGCATTGGAACTTACAGTTTCAATGCCTGTGCTCGAGCTTTCCATAATTGGACAATAGGGATCCGGTACATTAGGAGTGTTGCAGACACCCGGACTCCCACTAATCTGAGAAAGCAACAGCCTAGTCATGCTTTTCAATAATTAGTATGAATAAAAAGGCATAATCAGGGTTGGTTGTATCGCGATTCATGGATCGGCAATTGCAAACGAAAACACACTTGCTGACCGCCGCTATTATAATCAACCTCGAGATTAGCTAGAGGGATGTCGTTGAATCGGATATCGGGTGATTCCGTAGCACTCTAAAGAGCCATTAGCTACGAACCGCATAAGGAAAGAAAAAATGTAGCTCAAGAGGAAATTAGCAGTAGCTTTTGATCACAATGACAATCTTGATCACATCCCTCCTTCCTTTAAGTCTAAGGACGATCTAGATGCTAGGCTTGCAAAATCAAGAAAAGAAACTGAGCCTAAACAAAAGCATTTGTATCATGCAGTCTGCCATACAACTGAGAGCCCTTTCTAGGAGTAGTCTTTTTTGGAGCTTTCAGCCATTTTAGAAAGAGATAACGAATTTTTTCGGGAGCTCTTGGGGCAAAATGGATGAATCCGAATTCATTGTCTATCGCGAAAGCAACATTGTAGGAAGCCACGACAGTATAAACCATGCTTAAACCATAACCAACAGATTGGCTGACCAGGAATGTTACAGCATTACTACACTAACGGGTGCAGGGTAAACGACAACGAAGAAAACTACGTTAGCTAGCGTTCCTGAAATCCCAGTAGAATAATCGTTTATATATAAATGACGGCTGAAAACCCGGAAATGAGGATACATAAAGAGTTGCATGTGAGGAAGTGATGCACATCTCCTTTGGAAACCGCAAGCACTGTAATGGGTGCTTCCAAAACGATCACTTTGATTACTCAAGTACAACAGAACATGCAAATGTCACTAGTAATAAGCCAAAAATCTCACAGCATGTGCGAACTGAGATAACATTGCAGCTCAAGGACACACATAACGCTAAAAATAACCTTTCATATGCTTATTTTTGCGTGCATTGCACCTATTACTGTGTGCTTACGGTCCTTGCACAAGGTCGCGAGCTCGGCGTACTCGACCCTTAATCAGCTGCGCCTTTCTGCGTCTCCACGCTGGGCCCACTATTTTTTATTTCTCTGCCCCTTAGTTCACGACGTTCACGATGTGCTCGTCCTCTGCGCGCGAGGACGAGCACGTCCTGCAGTCACGACGTCCCGCGATTTCGCCGCGCGGCTGTGATAAGTGATAGGCGCGCGACGAAACGCGGCCGAAACAACACGTGCTGGGTACGTGCGATGTTTCGAACGTCGCGACCCTCACGACGGGGGGATTACTACGGGCCAAGGTGTTCAATGTCCTTTAAGGCCCCGGTCAGACTTCACGCGAATCAATCGTCGCGATCTAATCGCCAAGATTTCCATTCATTTTCATTTCACTTTCAAAAATTTCGGGCTGGAAAAGTCACAACCGAATGCAAGTTGATCGGCATGGAATGATGTTGTAACAGTTGTCTCCTCGCGATTCAGTCGCGACGATCAAATCGCGTGAAGTCTGCCCGGAGCCTAAGACGGCCACTAAGTCTTAATAACCTAAATAGCCGTTTCAATTCCGCACTTATTCTTCCTCACAGAAGTTTCTGCCAAAGCTACTGATTCAACATGGAAAAGCTTTTGGAATAGGTAGTTTTTTGCGATGACAGCCAGCATTCCTTGACTTCTAGGAGTAGGCAATGAGAGAGCACGAGGAAGACCTACAGTAATAGAATCAGTACCGACTGCAGCAGCTGTCACGCGCTGTTATATACACGATACTTTTGTGCGCATCTGAATTTAAAAATAGAAAAGTCATGGAAATTTCTGTATATGAGCTGCTAAGCTAATGCTTGTCGCATATTATCAGTCACTGAGTTTACAGTTTCTGTTGTAGATTGTTCACAAAGTTGCTTTAGCTGTATTTTTGAGGCTTGTACTTTTGTTTTACGGAATTTTCCACTTTTTTAATCATTCAAAATAATTATTGTCTAACCACGCCTACTCAAAGTATTTTTCTTTTATAAACTTTGCAGCATTTTAACACTAGTTTTTATTACGCCTCCTGATTATAAAGGCAGTAGATTTGAGTATGGTGAATGACGTACAGCCTGCTGCCACAAGTCAAGCGGCTCAAGTCCTCGCGACCGCCTTGCTCTCTTGCGCTGCACTGACGTCTCTTTCAGGTATTTTAACATGCGGGCGGTGACTGGGCTGGCAAGGCAGGCGAAGATCTAGGGAAGAAAAAATGAATGTTGTCAATGCGTGCTGCTTCAAAGGACTGCTGGTCCTTCACATGCTTATGCAAGCTGTTGAGGATCAGTGGTCCGCTAAAGCGGCGCCTAATAAGGCTTTGCTTCTTCAGGCAATCTAGAACTTGGAGGTATTTGCGTATGATTCGCATCTCAATTACTGCAGATGTGATTCCAGTGGATAGTTCACCACTACAAATGAATTATGCATTGGACTTGTTCTCACAATGCTCTGGCATGACTCGCGATTGTCAAAAAGGAAACCTTGCTGGCCATTCTGTCACATGATCATCCATTTGTATGAGTGACCGATCTGGAACATGCTTGCATTAAGTGGGAAACAGCTGTTCTTTGGACATCGGATGTTTGAATG